GGTTTTCTTCCTGGTTCTGGTGGAGGGTTTCTTCCTGGATCTGATGGAAGTTTTCCTCCTGGTTCTGGTTCTGATGGATGGAGGTTTTCTTCCCGGTTCTGATGGAGGTTTTCTTCCTGGTTCTGATGGAGGTTTTCTTCCTGGTTCTGATGGAGGTTTCTTCCTGGTTCTGGTTCTGATGGAGGTTTTCCTCCAGGTTCTGGTTCTTTGCTTAGAGGGGACACTTTTTTTTACGTCGCTCTTCATGAACTGCTCTAATTTGTATTTTAATGATAGAATCGGACTCTGATTGGCTTGAATTGGGCCTGTTTCCAGGATTTTTTGTTCTTTGTGAACAAAACCGAACTGAATTCAGTAAAAACATCCCCGGAAAGAGAAACACTGACAATAATAAAACACAAAAGTCTCTTTAAACCTGGAACGAAAAGACAAACTGTTCTTCACAGCAGCATTAAACAGTATTTTAAAGTATAATAAATAGTAGAAATCCACATTAAACCTGAGGCTGTCTAAACTTGCCATTTTAAGCCTGAGTGTATTTAGTAAGAGCGAATACACTCATTTAAAAAAAGGAAATTTAACATTTTAAATAATTTTCTGCCATTAAATGCTGAATCAATGACATTTCTCAGCCGTTTTAAACAGATTTTTTTGCTTTTTTAAATATTACAGAGCCAACATAAAACAAACGATCGGTTTGGAAGGTAAAGGTATTTTTCTGTGGAAAATAACAGTGTCTGTGACGTGTTTTTTACGGAAGATTTGCCCCGAAGGCGTGATGGGGAAACAGTTTTAAAGTGGAAAGCATTTTTCCGACCATTCTAGCCAGAAAGCGGAAAGCTCTGATGTTATCTCCGGTTATCAGCGACAGATCTGGAAGACTCCCACTGCTTCGCTGAGTCACATTTTTATTTTATTTTTATTTTTTCATTCACCTTTAAGCAAACGATGCCAGGTAGATCCACACATCTGATCCCTAGAAGGGAAAAAGATCCAGATATGAGATTCGTCTTTGCTAACTGAGCTACTGATCTGAAACAGAGCCAACAGAAACTGACTCTTAAAATAAAAAAAATGTAGTCCAAAATGACTCGACTGTCACTTTCCACCAGCGGCTGAGAGAAACTGAGGATTAAAGGCAACGGTCTGCTAATCTTTGTTTATTCTAAAAGAAAAATACCTTTCAGCTTA